TTTTCCCAAGCCCTACAAGGAAGCTGGTAACTTTAGGGGGGCCCTCCCAGTAGCACCTCCACTTTCAGGAGCCCTTATTTAACCAGGAGGGACTCCCCCTGCCTTGTGGGAATCCTCTTTTCCCTGCAACTCACAGCTCTCAGGCCTGGAAGGTGGCCCTCGTACTCTGTGCCAAGCTGCTCTCTCGCCTGCATTGGGCTTCAGGGGAGTTATGTCCCCTGGAACAGGGCTCCTCTATGCAGGGCTTCTGGGGCCTCTGGCTCAGCCCTGTCTGCTGGCTCAGTAGCCCAAGCACTATCTGGCTCCCTGGGCTTAACCTTTTGCTATGGGTCGGAGGCCTGGGCTGCCTTGTGCAGCACTAGGCTCGGTCCACTCCCAGACCCTCTGTGAAGCGCCTCCTGCATCGAGCTCCCAGCCTCATTCTGGAGGTTGAGGACCTGAGCCGCCCAAGCGCTCCAAAGGTCCTACTCCATGCACTGGCCTGTGCACTGTATCTCCGGCCACACGCCAGAAGTTGCAGACCCAAGCCGCCTCACGCAGCTCCCAGGGTCTGGACGCCATGTGCCATGCTGCACACCAAGAGCCTAGCTGTTGGAGCTGTCTGCCATTCCCCACTGATGGAAGTTTTCTGGGCCACTTTTGGGCTACTGCTTCGTCCTGCTGAGCAGCTCTCCTCAGCTCTTCTAAGCCCTGCTCTTCTCTTTTTTCTGTCCTATAGGTTTTCCCTCATGCTGGGCACGCAGCTCCTTTTATACTCTCCAGGGCTCCGCCCCTGAAGTCTTCTGGACCTGAGTGTTGCAGTCTTCAATCAGGTCTGGGGTGGGTGGGAACTCCTTTCCTCCGCCCTTCAGGAAAGGGGTGTGACAACTGCTCTTGTTGCCTCCTGATTGGTAGATGGGCTCCACCAATCAAAACAGCAAGATTTTGAGCCTGGGACTCAACCCAAGCTCCAAAAGGCAAGGCTGCTACACTGTCATTGGTCTCACGTTAAGGGTTAACATCCTCTGTAATGTGCACTGCACTGAACTGCCCTTGGAAAGCTCATGAGCAGGGATATGGGCCAGAGCTGCCAAGGTGGCTCTGTGCATGCCCAGCTCGCCTGCTTTCTGGGGCAAGGTATGTCCCAGGGATGGGGTCTGTGGCCTAGATCAGGAGCCTGCTAGCTCTTGACAGCTTGCATCAGGCCTGCCAGCACCTGCCTACCCAGACTGGGTCCCACTGGCCTGGATCACACCTGCCTACCCTTGTGGACTGCATCTGTTGCCCTGGATTGATCCCTGCTCACCCTAGATCCCACTTCACTACCTCCCCGCCAGCAGCTCCCCACTCACCTTTGGCTGCCAGCACTGGCCTGGGGGAGTGGGCAGGGAAGGGGAACCTACCCTCCACAATGGAGAGCACTGGCAACAGTGGCAGCAGGTAGGTGGGTTCCCCTCCCCTGCCTGCTCCCCCAGAACAGTGCTAGCAGCCACAGATGCTGGGAGGTGGGAGTCATGGAGGGAGGGGTTAGTCATGAGGGCTGAGGTGGGGCAGGGGAGGAAGTCCTAAGAGACAGGGGGATGGGGGGAGCCCCAGGGGTGAGGGGGTGCCTGTAATGGGAGCAGAGGGGAGTGGGTGGGCATTCTTACCACTGTCACTGGAGGAAGAAAGAGCATCTACCTGGGAATGGCTGGAGGCAGTTCCTCCTGGGATGCTAAAGAACTTTTCCTAACTGGTTTTGGCCCTATGGAGCAGTGTACCATAACTGCAACACAAGCTACCCAAGATGCGCTACAGGTAGTCCTCTCTGGAAGAGGACTATCTCGGAGGCACTTAGTGGGCACTTAACTTTTGTCAGCCTCCTCTAGTGTATGGACACTCTTGTTTTAAGAGCTCTTAACACATCTTTAAGCTAATATGTAACACTGTTAGTTTTTTATGGACATGCCTTTTTTTTAACAGATAGTTGGCAACCCTGAGCTTGACTTAACACATACAAGGGCTGGAGTATTGCTTGATGGAGCTGAGTATGGTGTGCATGCGTGTGTGTGCATTCGTGTCTGAGAGAGAAACACCAAAGAAACAGATGGGCCAAGGAGACCACCAAATAAGGACTGGGCACGTAGCCCAAAAAAGTAGCTAAGATTGAGCTTCTTGGACAGAGTATGGGCGAAGAGACTTTGCTCCCAGATCCATCTCATGATTCTTCTGTATTCAGGGAAGCAGGACTTTGCATACCATTCATAAATAGTATTGCATTAAAGAAGTACATGACTCCATGATCGATTTCTCTTCCTAACAAAAACAGACACCCAAGCCTTAAATCTTACCCAAGTGCTGAGGTTCAGAACGGATGATAGCCTTGAACGACTTCACCAGATTCATTCAGTTAACTCGCAGCAACATCTTTGCAAGAATCTTGCTGCAGATCTGTACATGGGAGAGGCACTTCCTGGAATCAGTCCTGCAATTTGTGATGCAGCCAGACTGTCCCACTAATTTCCACCAGCTTTATTTGTAAGAGTTAAAGTAGCAGGAGTGAACACCCTATTGCAGTAGCTTGCTGCCTGTTCATTGTTCCGTTTGTTAGTGACTTAAGCCACTGTGTAATTAGATGTAGTGTTTAGGAGATCCATTAATTTATGTTGCAGTTTCCCTTTAAAAGGGGATGAAATCATTTTTTAAAGTTAGGATAGTGCAAGAAATCCTGTGAAACTGGTAAACATCTATATATAGCAGCCCTCAACTTAGACACGTCCAAGATGACTTTGTGTGTGGAAAAAATGTTAAAAACAAATCCCCTAATTTGCTTGCAGGCTGAGATGTTTGCCAAGTGAATAGTTGTGTCCAAGTTATAAACTTCTGAAGGATGGGGTAGATAATGGAAATTCTGAAGCGCACTGAAGCCATGTGCTGCTGTGTGATGACATACCGTTCAGGGTCAGTCCCGTTTCTATTGATGTCAGTGGCAAAGCTTTCTTTGATTTCACTGGGGAAGAGAATCAGGCCCTCTATGTAATTCATCTTGGTAGGAGATTTCATGCCTCCCTAAAATATGTCTGTAGATGACCTCATGGCTCTTGTTGTCCAAGTGTGCTGGCAAGGTCTTTTAGTAGTTAGGTAGCTCAAACATTATTGCTTGCCAAGCTACCTAGAAGACTCGTGTCATCAGAAGGTTTACGGGTTTTGAAATGCTGTGGAAATCTGGTAATCAGATTGAAAACCTAGCAAGTGTTAGCCATAGAAGTGAATGGAAAATGTGGTTTCAATACAGAAAACAAGGAAAATGCATTCTGTAGGTCCTTTGAGATTACAGATGGCTAAGGTTGAAAGTGAGTTCTTTACTCCAATTCCAAGTAAAAGTGAATCAGACTACAGTTTTCCCTTACATACCTAAAGGAGATGGGCAGATCAATCACCCAGTCGCTCATTACCCAAAGGAATCACTCAGTGTCCCCATTGCTCTATAAAAATACAATAAAAGGGGTATCTATCTAGCTGTACAGATTCTCAGAAAAGGAGATTTTTTTTACATGTCTTTTGAGATGGCTGCACTTGATGACATCAGAAAGTTCACAGAATTCTATCATTTTTCAACATCTGCTTCAGCCTTAGAACTACTGTGCAACACTTGGTATTATATAGCTTCATATGTCTGCAGAACATGTGGAAAATATGCAACCAAGGTCTGCAAAGCAAATCATGTCAGAGAATATGGTGCTTAAGCCAGTGTACTGTGCCTAGTGAGATGGAAATCTGCCTCCTCCAAAGTTTGGATGCAGTATTTGGATCTCCCACATGCTAAAGTTCATGTGGATTAGGATCTGGAGCTTGTTTTACAAGAAGGGTCTATTGTGAAATGATTCTCATTAAATATCTAAGTTTCAGCCCCAGGCTTTCAGATTTGGATCTGGGGTTGGATTTCAAAGCCTCTGAAGTTTGGGGTTGTTTGAAGCTGAGATTTTCCTTTAGACCGAACCCTGTATAGCAGGATGGTGGCTCTAATTTTTTCACCCTCCTCATGGTGAAAACTACTTTGTGGTAGTTAAGCATTTTCCAAAGAGTTTAAAGTAAATAACCAGGTGCAGCCAATTCTTAGATATGGATGCAGCCAGCTGGGACACTTACTCTTTAACCCTGGTCTTTCTGTAAAAATTGTAAGGCTCTTAACATGGGTGGATCTAGAATTTTTAAAAGGGGGTTGCAGATGGTGAGGTACATCATCACATATGAAACAACAGTTTTCTCTACAGTTACAAATATATTAGAAGCTTTACTAATATGCTAGGGGCACCAATAGCAAAACTCCTGTTGGCTTCCATTAGAATCAGGACACAATACAAGTACTTAGGATCAGTGGAACTTGCTAGCACAACTAGAACAAAATATTGTATATGACTCTGCAACAACTAGCACAAAATATCTTATATGGCTCACCTGGAGCCAATTTGAGGCATTGCTTTCCTACATGGGGTGGCTGTGGAATCTGCAGTGCTTGCTTCATAGTTGAATTCTTCTAAATAGTAGACCAGATTAACATTTTTCTTTTTAATTACTTGAAAATTGATTCAATGTGCATTGTATTTTTTGTATATTTCAAATGCAAGCGTGTGTAATCGTGATATTGAATTGTGCAGCATTTGGACTTTCATAAATAGTTTATAAAAATATTTGGGGGTCTTACACAGCTCACATTAAGAACATACCATATTTTTGTTACCATTTGTTATACTTGTAAATATGATTTGTTTGTTTTGTGACCAGTCTTGCACACCTTCCTTTTGGGCTTCCCAACTGACTTTCTGTGAAAACTCCAAAGAACCCATCTGCCCAAAATAATTTGCTTCATCCACAGCTTGGCCTATCAGCTACATCTTCAGAGACTCTCACAGCTGAGCTGGGAAAAATCTTTTGAGTGTTATATATGCTAAGTCTAATCTGAAGACAAAAAGCTGAGTTTGAATTTAAAAAAAATTAATACATCTATTTTGTTTTTAAAAAAATCTTTTAGGTCAATTTTATTTTTTTTAATTTCTGGTTTGTAAAGTGGATTTTGTTTGTAAATATGAACCGCCAGAAATGATTCACAGAAAGACAGACATTCCTCTTTCAGGAAAACAGACAGCCCTGATTAGTCATAGCAGAGCCAGGCTGATGCCTTTTTCACAGGTCGCATCCATCCACCCACTCAGACAGTTCTCGCCCCTTGCAATGCATTGTCCAGTCCTCCCTGAAGAAGAAGAAAGCAAAGAGAAGAAATGCAGTTACATTATTACTATATTATTCATATTTAATAATCAAATACTTTTCAGGAGTCTGTCAAAATGAGGAACAGGCAGGAATCTAACAAAGTAAAACCCAGGAGAGGATTCTTGGTTTAGGATGTTTGACATGAACAGAAAATTAAACTGAGTTAAAAGTGTGTGTGTGTGTGTGTGTGTGTGTGTGTGGTGGGGGGTGAGTGCAGGGGAAGGGGGTTAGAGCGGAGTGCAGCACTCATCAACTGATGTGTGATAACTGTTTCATATAAGTTGGAAGTGGGAAACTATTCTGTGATACTTCAGCTAGTTTTATCATTCGGGAGTAAACTGCCCAGTTGTGACTTCACTTACAGGGAGATAGTGTGGACACATGAAATGGTTACCATGGATGGACTGTACACTTTTTAAACTGTATGATTCATTTATCCATCTAGGGCTTGAGGAACTCAGCTGAAACTGTGCACCATTGTCAGAAAGTCTTTTTAACATCAGGCCTAGATTCAGAATCGTAAGGCCAGTTTCTGCTACCCTTACTCATACCAAATATTTACCATTAAGTAGCCCCCCTTAAATGAAAAACCTAAACAGTAATATATTACTCAAGGTAAGGGTGGTAGAATGCGCTTCATTAGAGGCGTAACTGGCAGCATGGCAAAATAATGTACAGTTTCTGTAGTATATTGGTATTACCGTGACCCCTCTTAAATGATTCTGCCTCTCTGGTGACACATGCACAGCAGCACGGCACCACAGGAAATGCAGAAAGATAATGGGTCCAGTTGAAACTGCAGGCACTAGATGAAGACTAGTTTACCTTCAGAGTCAGAGACTTACTGTGTGTCCTTGAGTAACCACCTGCAGAGAGTGATCAGTGCCCAATCTATAAAATGGATGTAATAATACTTCTTTTGCCTGCCTTGCCCAGGGACTCTCTCTGTGGGCATGTCCATACCACTTCCATTCCAGAAGGACTGCCATGAAGCATACCCTTCCTGCTTATCTGAAGGTAAAATGTTGTTCTTCAAACAGGAACTAAGTCAGGATACTAGGGATAACCCCATTATTTTGGTACAAACAGGTGTGGGACTTCTGGTGACCACACAGATATATGTTCCTGACAATTTTCCTCTGTCCCCTTCCCAGAATTCCCCTTACCAGGCATCCATTCCTTTTGGGTCTTTCACAATTCTTTTGGCACAGATGATGTCATCAGTTATGTCACTTGACAACAAATCTGCAAAGAGTGCGAGCGGGTGTTTATTTTGGGAGAGTCAAAGGTAGCATACATGTGAGTCAAGAGCAAAACTCCCTGCCCAGCTGTGTGCCCTATTGGCTGACCTACACAGTGCTCTCCCAGTAGTGCTAAGCAGGGGCTTGGTATCCTTGCTGCAGTATCAGAGCAGAAAGAATCACGAGACTCCAGATCAGCAATAGCCCCTATGTTGTCTGACTCTTGGCAGGTAGAATCCTCCATTCCTCTTGTGCATGTAGAAGAATGATCTACAGTCTAGGTATGGAGAGGTTGGCTGTGGCCTCCACCATTCATGTGTACAAAGCAAGAGATAGGATAAAGGGAATTGGAGAGAGGAGAGAGACTGAGAGAAGGGGAGGAAGTAGCAGGATAGGGATGGGCTGAGAGAGACAAAATATGGAAGAGGGAAAATGAAGTGGTGAGGAGAGAGAGGTCAGGGAGGAGCAGGGAATGTGAGGCTAGTCTGAATGGGCAGAGATCACTACAGGAAAGAGCCGTTGAAGGCCTCTGAGCATAGGGAAGAGTAGGTATGGGGACAGTGTATACAGTAAGAGAGACTGTGTGCCTGGATCTTGAGGGGGAGGAGCTGCTGACTTGATGGGGATTACACCTGCACTCACTCTACCTGTCAGTCCATACAGAGAGAAGAGTCAGAAGGAGCACTGATGGGGGGCTGAGAAAGTCTAGGGCTCTTGCCTATCCAGAGAGGCCAGGACGAGAATCCTTTCAGTATGCACAAGAACTGGGAGTATATACAGCCATATCCTGCCTCAGGTCGCCTGACCCTGCTACTTTCCAGGGGAGGCAGTTTCTGGTGTAGTAGCTGGAACAAGCAAGTGTGTGGGTAGGAGGGGAAATGGCTGAGAGAGTCAAGTTACAGCTACTCCTCGCTTAACGTCATAGTTATGTTCTTGAAAAATGCAACTTTAAATGAAACAATATTAAGCAAATCCAGTTACGTCCCAGCAGTTACCTGCTAGCAGGTAGTGGCCAAACATTGTTATAACCGAACATTGCACGACTTTAAACGAGTTTTTAAATGAGTATGTGCTCTAATAGATCAGCAACGTAATAACGTTAGCTGGGACGATATTAAGTGAGGAGTACCTGTAATTGTAATATAATTAAACTTTCCATGTAATTGAGGTATTAATACTGTTCCTCCAGATTTGCTGGGAGGCTGAATTAATCCAAATCTGTGAAATTCTTTAACACTGTTGGGTGAAAGGCACAATGATTTTACTTCATGATATGGCTTGCATATCCCTATATCTCATACTATGCTTAAATTTTGTTCTGGCTCTAAACTTTCCATCCCCATACCATCCCATGCAGTGTGGCTTCTCAGGAAAACACTTTCTAGGGGCTGTTCTGGGAGTTTCCCCATCTTAAAAGAGCATCTACATGATACAGCCCAAGGCTATTGTCCTCCCCTTCACCACAAGGCAACTGAAGAGAAGGATGTGTTTTCCCACTCATACCCTTGACCCTAAACCCTCCCAGTTAAGGGCTTCCTACCCCACACCCAGAGTGGCACCATGTGGAGATTTATACAGCACCAGTGCAAGGCATGTAGCAGAGGTTCTCAGTGGGGCTTCGGTGATTGTTGCACCACACGCGGCTGTTGATCTGGAAGATGCCGTAGTCGGTGCTGCCATCTGCATTGTCATCCTCTGCTGCTGTGTTGAATCCACTCTCAAAGAACGCCATGCAGATCCCTGGCACAAGGTCAGAACATGATCAGTGTCCACATCAGGGGCTGTCTCTAAAGACAGGGGGCAACGTGCAGGAATGTTTGAGGACAAAAGCCAGGAAAAAGATGAGGAAAGACATAGAGATGGGAGATGGTCTGTCAATAGGGGGAATATGAAAAATGGCAAAGGGAAAGGAGTGTCGAATGGATTTGGGGGGAGGAAGTTTGGGCATGGGGACATAAAATCAGAGAGAAGGTAAAGAAGTGTGGGATGGGAGAGCACTGAAACTCACAGTTGGCAAGGCTGTACCCCTCATACCCATCCATTCCAGCTTCTTGTAGCTTGTAGGCTAGTTCACATCGGCTAAACACTTTGGCTTCGTTGGCCACGATTAGGCAGCCAAACAGGAGCAGAAGTGCAAGAGCCTTCATCTCTGCAGAATATATCGTTGAGAAGCAATGATAAGGATTAAGTACCAGAAAGGAAAGTGCACACAGGCAATCATCTCACCCCATCACAGGTACTGACTGGAAGGATTGGCTCTGAGATAAACCAGGACAGAACTTTCCCACCACAGCTGTTGTGAGCTCCTTCTCCCACTGCTATAATTTGGCCCTCAGAGGTGTCCCTGCATGTGCAGTGTATGTGCGGGCACATACATGCATCAAATGTTGGACAATCTAGAAGTCTAACAGGTTTTATTAGTGTAGACGTAGAAAACACAGAGGCTTAAGGCTTTGGAACATCACAGCCAGTTTTCTCATGGTGAAGGGTCAGATGTCTCCTGGGAACTGGAAGCCTGACTGACAAGTATGATCCACCTGGGAAAGGCTTATGCCTGTTAGAGGCTCAGGCATTTGAGGCTGCTTGTTGCGGTATTCAGTTAGTTGCTGAGCAGGAGCCTGGGACACTGGCGTTGGCTGCTTTAATGGAAACGCTACCCAAACCGACCAACCCTTAGGTACATATTTCACATCAGCCTTATAATGCAATGATCACCACTTTCAGTAGGTCATCCTAGAAGGCAAAGGCAAGTTATCTGAGAAGAACTTCAGCCCTGTGCTTTCAGAGAAAAACAGCAGTAACTTTGCTCTACCAGGGCTCGCTCACTCTCTCTCTCCCCCCTTCATACCTGTTCCCACTCCTAGCAAGCCTGTTGTTTCCCTTTTTATACAATGGGATTTTGACCTTTCCTACAGAGCTGCAGGGAAACTTGAGCAACCAGCTGTTTTTTTTCCCTGGTGCTTGGCTTGGAGAGTATGGCTAAATACAGACAGTCAAAAGGCCCAACGTGGAATTGATCCAATCTGCACAGGTTTTTATAAGCTGCATAGATTGGACTGTTAAGAAATAGAGCTCATGTTCACTCTCCCATTGCCCAAGGTAGGCAGCTGCCTGCAGTGGCTAAAGCTAGAAGGCAGGAGAGGCTCGTACACGCCTCCCATCTCTCCCCCTTCACAATTCCCCTGCGCCTCAGCCATGGGGGTGGGGTGGGGGAATGGACCTTCCTGCCCAGTTCCAGTCTACATGTGGGGGGGGGAGGGTTGTTGCGGGAGGGGAAGGGCAGCCCAGCCCTCGTGCAGCCCAGCTCTGGCAGGCAGAAAATCTGTCCATCCCCACCCCCACCAATGGCTGAGAGGTGGGGGGCAGGGACATTTGATGCTTTATGGAGCTGGGCTGCATGGGAGGAAAGCCCCCAGCCTCAGGGGGCTTCCCTCCCCTGTGCAGACCCCAGCTTGGGGTGGGGGGCTCCCCCCTTGCTCACCCCCATGCTGCTACTGGCTGGTCTGGGGTGCAGAGGCTTTGCTGCCTGGGGGAAGGCCACCCAGCTGAGCTGGACCAGAGGACATCAGGCAGAGGCAAGCCTGCCCTGATAGCAAGGGTTAGCAGTGGGCTACAGTGTATCCTGGGATGCTAGAGGACTGCGACCTAACTTGTTTCAGAAAGGGATCTGGAACAGAAGTTTGATAGACCAGTCTAACCTAAAGTGATTCAATTTGAGACTACATCTGTCCTGGTCTATCTTAAATTGGATTTCACCATTTTGAAACCAGTCCATGTGCACTGAACTTCTGTTCTGTTTCAGGTTTAAAACAGTTTCTGACTGCTTATACCAGCTTATGTGTGATTTCTTCCACACAGGCTAGGGACAGGAGGGAGGGAAGTGGGAAGAAATCTTATGAAATTGGAGAGCAAATTGATATGGGTTAAGAAAAAGCCTTTGCACTAAAAGTGTTAGAGTACTCTTGTGTTTCTTTGGTGTCCCTCATTTCTATTCTTCAAGTTATGATTTTCCTCAAACTCATGTGACTGAATATACTTTTCTGCTGTTTTTTTGTTGTTGTCCAGATACCTTGTTTCCTCTTGTTCTAGCTTGAGATATTCTATGAGAATTTCTTAGGGGCTCCCTGGGAATTTGTCAGGTTACCAAATTCCTGTATTTTCTACCTTAGTCTTAACACTGGATGTGTAAAACCCATCAATGCACGGTTGTTAAAAATGACTTGACTTTCTTCATTTCATTGTGGTATTTTGGTGTTGAGGGAGACAGTTTTGGATACTAAAAGACATTCCTTTTCTTCTCCCTTATGCTCATTTTCTTAGGACCTGCCACCATGAAAATGGGGGGGAAAAAACAACCTAGCAATACTGGGACTATTGTATTGCATTTAATAGTTACTGGACTTACATGAACAGGGCCTGGTTTTTTTTTTGTTTATTTGTTTGTTTTTTTAAGCTCCCTTGTTTCATCTGCTTGGCACTGCTCTATCAGCACAAAGCAAGTAGAAATATGGCATTATCAATCAGTTAAGGAATATACTGTTATACCTGGCCCTATCCAGTCCTGTGTATAGAGGACATGTTGGAGAGAGAGGAAGGAACAGCTATGCTAGCCCAGGGGAAGCAGAGGGGTGTAAAGCTGTTGAGCAGCATTGCAGAAGGAGGTGTTCAGCAGGACTTGGCTGCAGCTAAGCATTTGGTTATGGCACCTGTCTTTGGTGACCAACCACCAGTGAGGGAAATACCTGTTTGCACTGGGTAACCCGACAGCAGCGGTTTCCAAACTCTGACAGATTGCGCACCACCAGTTTAAAACGATACAACCTTAAGTACCACCAGCAAATTTTTGTCATATAAAGTAATGATAATAAATCTGTTAACTGCGTACCACTGACAGGTTGCTGGTGTCCCACTGGTGGTACGCGTACCACAGATTGGGAGCTGCTGCCCTACAGTACTAAAAGAGGAAGGCACCGGCCTCTGCAAGACTGCACTTGAGCTTCTACTAAGAGCTAAACACTTAACTAGTTCGTGTTATGTTTCAGGATGTTGGTGGAAAGCGCCCAACCAAAAGGGTAGAAGCAGGCAGGGTACTTAGCTGTTACACATGGCAGCAGCAAAAGCGAAACACACCCCATGCCTTGGAGGGAAGCATCAGAGAGATTGAAGAATTAAAGGATCGCAGCGATACCTATCAGTCCTTCGCTCGCAACGTCTGACCACGGCTCCCTTCACAGTGGTCTGGCCTGAAAGCTCCCAACTGACATTGGCTGCCTCCGTGTCTAACTGCTCCTGTTCTAGAATCTTCTCCTGCCAAAGCGCACCGCCCCTCTCGATTCAAACAATGCAACGCGGCCGTGTTGTGTGCATTTTTTCTCAGCTGTCTGCATTACAAAATATGTTGCAGAATTAAGCAATGCAAAACACTACGTTGCTTGTAGCAGAGCTGGGATAGTTCTTCAAACCACCCTCTGCATTTTGGGGGTGGGGTGTAACCCTTTTGGGGTCATTTTCACATAAAGTGAAAAATACTCCTGTACATAAGCCTATTGGCCAACATTTGCTAAAATGCAGAATTTTAAGATACCATTGCAGAATATTTGCAAAGAAGTAATTTTGAATTCTTAATTTACAGCTGGCCATTGTTACTCACTGCTGCAGTTAGGCCATAAAACGATACCACGTAGCCAAGGCTTAAGTAAAGCCTGCATCAAAAGCATCTCCTGCTTGAAGCAAGCACGATGAAGGGGTGGTAAGCAAGATGCAGGCCAAGAGTTATCAAATAAATTATTCAGTGAATAACTTCAAACAACAATTTCTCTGTTGTGGAAGGTCGTGTCTGCTTCCACTCAGGAGTGTTGTTGTCAAGGGAGGTATGCCTGCTCCAAGCAAGGTACAGCCCTGCAAAATGTAAAGTAACTAGTCTGTGTGCACCCAGTGCATGCTCCATCTCACCTTTCAGCCCCTAGTCTCTTGGTGCATTTGGAGTGGGAGCGGAAGCAAGTGGGAAGGGCAGGCTTGCCCTTTAAGGCAACTGGGAAGGGCATGCTTCATGGCGGTACTTCTGGGATGGAGGTGGCCCACAGAGAGAGAGTCCCTTGGCAAGGCAGACAGAAGAAGTATTATTATACCCATTTTACAGATTAGGTGCTGATCTTCTCTGGAGGTACTTACCTGAGGACACACAGCAAGTTTCTGACTTTGAAGCCAAACTAGTCTCAGTCTAGAGCCTTCTTAAACATAAGATTACGGACAGTTCTCGGGGGTGCTGCGATGCAGTCATATCTACCTTCCACAATGTAGGCTATATGCTGTGGCTCCAGCTCTCCACAGCCCTGATACCCACGTCCCCTGTGGAGTCTGAGGCATGGCTGGAGCCCCAGGCTGGTGGGAGATACATGGGAGGCTAAGCAGTGAGCAAATGAGGAAAGGCAGATCTGCCTCCTGCCGCCACTGTCCCCAGCTGACCAGAAGCAGGGGAAGCTTCAAGCTACTCATGTCCCACTGCAGCCCAGGGCTGCAGAGGTGACTGAATGGGGTGCTGAGTTTGGTGGCAGTGGCTGCAGGCAGGTCCCTGTTTCCTTCCTCTCTACCACGTTTCCCAGGGGCTCCAACTATAGGGAGCAGCTTTTCAAGATATCAGGCTGGACTGGGATGGAGATGGGGGCAGCAGTAGGCCTCCTTTTCCAGCACCTGCTCCTGGCCAGCAGGTGATACCCAGGGGGACTGGGCAGGGAGAAGGAGTGCCTAGAAGAATGGGTGAAGTACTCATTCACTATTGCTGCTGTCCCCAGCCAAGGCTGGCACCCCCTGATGCTGCTTACAGAAGCCCTTGGGCTCCTCCCACCCCTGGGTCAGCCGGGGCCAAGAGGCACACCCTAGCCACACCCTGCTGGAAAGACCCAGGGGGAATGGAAGGGAAGGGGAGGTGCCTACACTGGAAGAGAGCAGGTGCTGAGAGCTGGAGGTTTGGGGAGGGAGTCTTACCTGCTTCAGGAATTCATAAACATCCCTAGCAGCTGCTGCCACATGGGGTCTACCTGCTGAGGGCATGAGCTTTAGCCACCCTGTGGTGCTGGCCGCATCTCCCACAGCCCTCTTTTCAAACTCCTAGATCCATGCTTAAGACCATTGATTAGGGACATAGTCTAGTGCTCACCTCCTCACCTTTGCCTAGGCACAAAGAGAAGCACACTTCTCTCCTTGTATCCTCTGACAGGAGCTCAGAACCACTCTTGCTCCCCTTTCTGATATTGCAGCTTAGCTGGACCTGAGGAGCTGGTTCTTGGTGCACAGCTGGTTCAGTTGCTGATTTTGATGAGTTTGGTATTGTTTTATCACCTCACTGTACATGTATTGTTAGCATGGAGCATAAAATATGAAGTAATGGGAGTGAAGAGGTGGGGATCCTTCCTTTCAGAAGTATTTTTGTAATGCCAAGCAAAGTTGATGAGCTTTATTTTAAAACTTCTAACTGAGCCCAGGGAAATGATAAAATTCACTCAGTTTCTTAGATTAAAATGATTTTTACTAAGTTCTGAAAGGTTCAAAACATTTAAAGACTTCTCCTTTGGATTAAATATTAATGACAATGCCAGGGTAATAATGGAATTAATTCTGCCTGGTTGTTTTCACTCGCAAGTTCCTAATTGTATGGGAAGTATTTCTGATGGGTTTTGGTTTCAGTAGGAGATAGAGTACCAGAGAGCCAGTACAGTATCTGTGACTCCACAAGATTTACAACTTAATTCCCTGCTTGGAAACAAAGAAACAAATAGCTGCATGTCATGCACTGAACTGAAACATTATGGATCATATTAGTACTCTAGCTTCTAAGGACTTCTCAGTGGTGGGAAAAGAATGCTATTAACTTTCTTTTATGACTACCAGCAGGCTAATGAGGAGAGAACAATCTTTTCCATTTATAAAGTCTGGGGGCCCTAAAATCTGAATATCAGCCCAGGAGCTTTGTCAGAAGAAGTAACTGCTTCCTTTCCCTCGTAAAACTCCTATCTCTATTAATCTGTGTTTATTTTCCTTCGGCTTTTCAATTTGCTTAATGGACTTCAGTCGAAGTCTCTCCTAGCAGTCAGAGGAAAGTAAACTCTGATAAATCCTTAGGGACTTAATAGTCTCAGTTAAGCACTTCTTTAGATTATTTTGTCTGACTTTCATCTTTGCTGCTTCAGAGATGATGGCTGCAGATCACTCCCATCCTAACCCCATGACTTAAGAGCCTGGGAATGAACTGACAAATGATGGTCCTTTTTTCCCCTCCCTTTCTCCCTCTGCTTATATGGAAATAAGACAAGAGCAGAGTTGCTAAAATTCAACCACTGGAGATGGTGTGCTCTCCTGGTACAACCTGATTTCACAGAAGCACTGGACCTGGTTCAGATATAGCTGATAAATGGGTTGTGCGAAGCTTCGGTCCCTGATTCAATTCGGCGGAGATTCGATCTGATTTGGTGGCCGAATCTTTGAATCTGAATTGAATCACAGGACCCTTTAATTTCACTGACTCGAATCGGATCCCTCTGAATTGATTTGGAAAGATTCAGACATAAAGACAGCTTTAAATGTGTTTCCTTCTGGTTAGCAGGAGCTCATGAGTGCTGCGATGCTGGGTTGCATGGAGTGTCCCACAGAAGCACGGGGGGCTCCCCAGCACGCTCAGCAGCAGATCTGGAAGTGGACTGGAAGCAGTTCCAGTTCATTTCTGGGTCTGCTGGGGAGTGTGCTGGGGGGCCCCCCTGCACCCTCCTAGCTCAATAACTGGTGCCTCCTGGGTCTGTGGGGGGGAATCTGGGGTCGCCCTGCAGCTGGTCGCCAAGCCGGGGAGGGAGGGCAAGGGGGGGGGCCTCTAGTGTGCTCCCCGGTGGACCCAGAAGTGGATCAGAAGTCCTTTCAGTCTACTTCTGGGTTTGCCACTGAGCACGTGGAGGGCCCCCTCTGTACTCCTCTGGGATGCTCCATTCACCCCAGCATTGCAGCATTCACAAGCTGCGCCTGCTACCTCAAGGTATGTAGAAGGAAATTTAAAGCTGTGTCTATGTCCAAATCATTGATTCTATGAATTAGCATCGAATCTTCAGATTTGGATTCGGCCGAATCGAATCAGGGACAGTGATCTGAATCAACTAATCAAATTGCTGTCCCTGATTAGGACTGAATCTGAATCAAATAGGTCCCACTTCACACGCCCCCACTGATAAATGGAAACTTCTTTGCAGTGAGCCAAGGCAGATTTTGTATCAGAGCAGGAGATAATCTAGAATTACTGAGCTTCCTACCACTTATTTTTCTAGCCTGGATTTTTCAGTTGGCAACTAAGGAGGAGAATAAAATTTTCCACCAGAGCTACAGGCTAGGATCACCAGAATGCACTGTGCTGGGTCACCCATTCCTATACTAAGCAGGGGCCATTCACTGTCTGTATTCAAATACCTCCTTGGTTGAAGGTTATTAGTACATTGAAATCACCTGCTTACAATATGGGAGGAAGGGAAACATCTAGAAGCAACTTTATCAGAGCCTGGCTGCCAACTGCAGATTATGGCAGCTTGCCGGGCCACTGGCAGAACGATACATGTATTTTTTCCCTTTTAGACTTCTGGAACTTTGTAAGGACCCTCAGAACATATGCAATTCTGCCCTATGCAGAAGGCCTAAAGTCCCTCTGCAACCTGATATTTTTCAGGACGTCCATATAATGGGGAATAGGCCATGTGCTGCTTCTCAGTTCAGGGAGAATTTTCATGCTCGATCTCTGTTTCCCAAGGGCAGGCTGGTGAAATACACTGGACTGCCCTACAATAGGAGTTCTGTGACATTTCCTTGTTTGCAGTCCTACCAGCATCATCTGTTCATTAACATTTCATGTTATTAGTATATTATTATTTTTCTTTCAATGGGTAGGCTTTGAATGACAGCCAACAGTGGTATTAGTCTCTAAATACCTTTTTGTTAGGAGTCCAAGTTCTTCCTGGTTTTACTGATATATTACTTTCCAGACAGCAGATTTATTTCTGTATAGCATATATTCCTGAAGGTTCTGCTTAGTCAGAAATTGTATTGTATAATTAGATCCCAACTGCCTCTTTCTGACCCTGAACAAAGGTTTACTTTATTGTTCATTCTAGTAATTAATTTTTAAATTTTATTTCCTACGTGTAGCAGGGGGATTATTCATTAGGATACAGTCTGCTCTTTGCTATTTGTAATGATTGGCTTTTTTGGTTTTTTTTTAAATTTTCACTATTATCTGTTTTGTAGGTGGAATTTGCATTGTGGGTGAGGGAATAGAGGTAGAGCAGAAGCATACAGAGAAAGGAATACAAGCTATGACCC